CCCCTTCTACAACCTGTTTAGTATTCTTGTAGACCCTTTTGGGACCAACAACGTTTCTCATGAGGTCATTGTGCATTCTCTATGACTTAAGATCATGAAGTTTACTCTATGTGAGTGATTTTTAGCATGTACAACCATCAAACAAGAGACCAAAGCAGGGCTCGACAAAACATAAAGTATCATAGTACGTCGATTGGATTTGTCAAAAACGAGCTGACGACTACAGGGGAAGCGGCTGACTGCAGAACCTGAGCCCGGTTTGTAGCTGATGTACTTTAATAACTGGAAGTAATCATTATGTAACTGGGTGACAAAATGTTTGTTGAGTATATCGTATATCATTTAGTAGTACTAACATAGATCAATATAGAATTTGTTCCTCATGGATGACAAAAGTGATATCCCTAACGTCCCTCGATTTGAATAGTTCTGAACAAGTGCATGCATGCTCAGATAGTTAGTGTAGGATACTAATTTATGTTTTATCAATAAATTTTGAATCAAGAAACTAAAGATCGGGACATACCGAGGATGACAAAGGGACATAAATGTGTACACTGATAATGATCACATAGTTTGTTGATTAACTAAATCACCAAACTTTTTCATTTGGGTAACAATGATGTATTGTTAGATGTCACTCATCGTTTATAATATAACTTTAAAAATGGACTGGGTTTTGACTACTCTGAACTCAATAAGAGTTATGAGAATAAAGAACTACATTTTTCATATAAAGAATGAAGAAAATTGCTTCCAAATTTGACAAGTATAGAAGTCTGCAGAGTTTGTTTCAGAAATCTGAAAAACAGATTTTCAGAGATCTGAACTATGCTAAATCGACTAAGTCTAAAAGTCTGGAAGAGTGACCAGAGCTCCTCTTGACGACCAAAGCCTCTGGTTGTACAGACCAGAGCCTCTGCACACTACGTGTTCAGGACCAGAGTCCCTCTAGATGACCAGAGCTCCTCTATAGGCTAAGTGTTAATAATTTGAAAGACTTCAGAGTTCGGTCGACAACTTATCAAGGCGTACAAGTCTAAGTCTAAAGAGTCATTCTTCAGAGTTATCTCTAGAAAAGATTCGACTTCAGACTTCCACAAGAGGCTAAGTGATAAAGTCTGAAGATCTTGAGTTCAGAGTTTTCCTAACTCTGAACGAGAGGAAGTCTGAAGAAAGAAAGTTTGAAGACCTTGACTTCAGAGTTGTTCTAACTTTGAACAATAGGATAATGCTGATCTTGTATCTTGTTAT